TTATAGGGTTCCTCATAGGGGGTAAACATCCGCTAAGAACGGATTTTACGAAACTCCACCCCTGAGGGTGTATATCGGGGGTTAACTAAATACACGCGTACGTGTACTTTCTAAGAAATGAATGATTTGATTTGATTTGAAGTCGCGGGCGGCCGCTAGTGCTTATTATAAACTTTGTTCTTATTTTACCTCCACTTGTGTGATTCTCCGCCATAACATGCGATGTCATTGTACGTGCAGGTAGTCGGTGAATGACCCCTTTACCTCTTTTTCGACCCTTTATGCCTGTTGTAGGTACATAACGATGTATCAAGTGGTAAATGCACTTACAATATATACACCATCGAAGGTTTACTTACATTATTTATTAACGGTATGTACTTATTAACTAAATGACGCCGAGGCGTAGTTCTTAATCGGACTATGACTCTACATAGAGTTGCGGATTCAATTCTCAGGGCAAGTGTTATGTATAATAATGTATATCCATGAATATTCTTAAGTAGTCATCTATATTATTATGAAAGGCTACTTGTGGCGTATTTATCCCGAATGTATGTCAGATTTCCAGTCACCATAGTACAAAATTTACATACTTAATTGTGAAATTAACTATGGATTTTTTACCGATTTGAATCACATTTAAGCCGATAAAACACACCTTAATTTAGTTTCCTCGTTAAAAGTAACTAAGTACAATCGCCAGCTATTGTTAGAAACTAATCAAATAAGTCTAGATTAGGAATCTAACAATAGACAGACCGTTTCGAATTTGGCTAACAAGAAAAAATGGCAATTTAACTACCTGATTATGAGTAATATACTGAGAAATCTAAAACACGTAACAAACCGATCTACGGTTTTTTTATATTTATTTTCAGGACAGAATCTGTACTTTCAGTTTGAATCAAAGTATTGTTGAATAGGCTATAGGCTAATTATTATTTTTTATTTTATCTTTATTAAAGAAACATACAACCTATATTATGTTTGTACGCTTTGAAACTAACGGGTCAAAAGTGGCCCGGTCCTTTATAAAGGCTTGCGTGGGGATACTTCGTCATGATCATCATCTCAGCCATAGGACGGCCACTGCTGAACATAGGCCTCCCCCAATGCTTTCCATGCTGCCCGGTTGGTAGTGGGGATACTTACAAATTATTATTAAAAACTTTATTGCAGAATGACCATCATACAAAAGGTGGTCATGCTAATGCGACTTTATTTCAATAATTTAAAATGTTACTGAGTTTATTGGTTATCCAAAAGTAAGGACAAATTCGCGGGCAAAGGCTAGTAAGTATCAATACTTATATCGGTCAAAATCAGTTTTTTCGACAAATAACTTTACTGAAAGAAAAGCTTAATTAATGAAACTACTGCGAATAGCCCAAATAAAGCTTATCTACGTAAATATCTATGCAAGCGCTCCAAAACCGGTTTTCTAATGATAAATCTTAGATCAATAGTCTTTGCAGTTTTGCACATTTACTTTATGTAAAGTCTGGCGACTGTATACTGTATATTATAATTTTTGTCGCAAATATTGTATTTATCGTAATTTTCTTCTTGTCATGTCGACAACAAACCTACACAGTGTCAGCCCAAAACTCCGCCACAAGAGTGGCGTTGTCAGTAGACTTCACTAAATCTACCTTTATCGCAACATGGTAGGTTCAGTTTAATGTGATTTCAGTAAAAACACGAATAGTTTCATTAAAAAGAAGAAAAAGCCTTAAGTGAAAGTGAAATGTGGTGAAATACATAGATGGACTCCCTGCATGGTGGAAAATTCAAATTCAAATTCAACCAGGTGTTTTTGATGTTGTGTTTTCAGATGTTTTTTCAAGACCAGTCAACAACAGACTACATTTTTTAGCATACCTAAGTTGAATTTGCTAAACGTTGTTTGTCTCGACGAAACTGTTTTTTTATTTGGCTGTGTTTTTATTATGTTTTTATTTACACACACAAGTTAAAAATACTACTGGCATTAATATTAAATAATAAGATGCTGCAATACTGCAAAAAAGGGTGAATGTACCAATTATCGAGTGAGAACATTATTTATATTATTTATAAGGTCATTCATTATAATGCGCTTGATAAGAAGTTTTTAGCCCATGGTATTTTATTGACCAGCGTTCCTCAGAACTACACATTTCTTGCAAAATAGCTCCTATATCTACTACATAAAGTATTTATTTGTATATGCCAGTGTTAGATGTTTGATCACATTTTTTTCTACATGATGCATCACCTAGCATCACCTCTGCCGTGGCAGAGGAATTTTACTCGGTAAAAACCTATTTAGTGTGTCATTAAGGAAATAATCGATTGATTTATTTACTCATATTGGAAAAATCATGCGATCCAAGTTTAGTTAGGGTTGCAGGGTTGAGTCAACTAATTTTCCAAAATGGTTAACCCCTTCAGTGTCATAAGAATTACGGGTGACAGGACCTTACTCACCAGTAGCGCCAAAGTGAGTAAAATTTCGAAAGGGCTTCTTGCAAAATTAGCTTTAAAAAAATCGCAAAAATCGAATAAGGATTTCTAATTGATTGCTTAAATCGTAAGCGTTGGAGTAAAAATTATTGAAAAATATGTTACGATTAATTTACTGGACTAAAGTAGCGTTTCGTAGCTCTATATTCCCCTATTGTCGTTTAAAAAGGCGATTATTCTCATTTTTTTACGAACAAATCATTTTTTTAATTCTTTATGAATATTCAATAGTTCGTTATAATTTATGCTTACTAAAATTTATTTTTAACACACTATCGCATTGATATAACCGCAGTAATGATAGATGGAAGGTTTTTGCAAATAAATAGATACATTTGCAATTGGCACACAGTGGTGACCTTTTTTATTCATTTTTGATTATTTTTAAACATATTTTGAATTTCTGATTCGATATACCACAAACCATAGTATCTACAACGACTTCCTACATATTTACATTGGCTCGTTTGCGCATCTATCGAAGGCTGTACATATTTATTCGGATCAGTCTGTAATTTTAAACACATAAGTATGCGTGTGGTTTTACAATTGTTTACAATGTAAACAAATAAACATGTTTATAAACACACATTAGTTTTATTCTTCTTGTTTTTTTTTATAACCAGGCACATTTCAGACTACAGATTAGATTTTGTGTGGAGATTTACGAACTTTTTTTGTTTTGTTTATGGAAACAAAGCCTGTTATTAGTTGCTTAGACTTTAATTCTGAACAGAAATATAAACCACTGAAACTTTATATAGGAAGTACCTACCTATTTGTTTGTATATTATATCAAAGATTTTGTTTTAAAATTGAATGGACATTCTGTTCTTAATAAAAAAGATACAATTATGAATTAAAATAAAAAGATAATTACCAACTAATGATAGTTTCAAGAAGCAAGAAATATAGGTTGTTATTAATTCACATAAAATGTCATTTTTGGAAATATTATTTTTTTATTATTCAGGAAATCAAAATTAACAAATAACTAATTGAAATAAATCTGCAGTTTGTAAAATAGGAAGTTATTAATTTGGTAATGAATCATATTTTATTGCATTTTTAATTTTCTGCATCATGATACATGCAAAATTATAATGCGTCTTTTTCAAAAACACATAACTTATTGACTTTTCAAAAATTTAAGATGACCTTCAGCTATAGATAGAATCTAGATTCTAAATGTAATTTGTTCTAAAGACGAATAAAAGTCGTCTACATCATCAACGTCTTGGCATTCAAGTGCCTAAATGATGTTTTAGATGTTGTTGAGGATGCATGCCAGCCGTAGGTATTGTTCATTCATATGAAAAAGATAATTAATTTTCTTGTGCATCCATTATCTTTTTTGTATTAATTAATGTTTAGTGCATCATCTTACTTAGGTATTCATAAAGCTTTTGTTCTGATATATCTATACTTATAATAAATCTGTAGAGAGGTCAATTCTGTACATGAAATATATTTTCAAAATAACTATCAGGGGGTGATTAGTGATCGATACTGATGCCAAAAATGCAATCAGTAAAATTTTTGTCTGTCTGTCTGTCTGTCTGTCTGTCTGTATGTTCCTTATAGAAACAAAAAGTACTAGACGGATTTTAACGAAACTTGGCACAATTATTCTTCATACTCCTGGGCAGGTTATAGGATACTTAAGAATTTCCACGGGAACAGGAATTAGCGGGAAAATCCTTTTGGTACGAAAAATCTAAACCGCTTAAGTTAGACGCTTGAAATTTGGCATGTAGGTACCTTAGTAAACTTAAAGCTTAGTTACAACAGGATATTGCAAAATTCCCACGGGAACGGGAGTTAGCGGGAAAAAACATTTGTATGAAAATATCAAATCCGCGTAAGATAGATAAAGGGGGTAAAACGGGATCCACGCGTACGAAGTCGCGGGCGGCCGCTAGTTTTTGATTAAGAGAATAAAGTCTGATTGTAATAGGTAGGTTATCCGAAATCTGAATAAACAATTTTTCTTTCTTTCTTAAATCAAATAAAAAGGTGGAGTGTGATTACGTATTTTTAATAATAAAATATTTGTCTAAAAAGCTATACCTTAATTGCTATGGAAATTAAAATAAGTAAACTTTGTTTTGTTTGTATTAGCAGTTGTCCATACATTATTAAAAAGGAATTTATTATTTAAAGTTAAAGTTGTTGCTGTTAATTTTGTTTAGGAATTGTATTGTGAAATTTATTAGCGCGCAAGAGCAAGTAGGCAGTCAGTCTTCCTTTAAAATCATTTGCAATATACTAAACTGAGTATTATTTAATTTTTAATAAATTATTTTTAAATATTTTCAAGGAAAAAATATATTTTAGCAAGGCTTAATTATTATTTTTTATATTTCCCTTTAAATTTAGGCGTAAAGATATTTTTTAGACTTTAATGCTAATTAATTTAATTCTACACTTTTTAAATTTACAAGACCCTTATTTTAAACCTAACCCTAATTAAAAAAAAGTTTGGTACTCACAGTATCTGTCAAAAAACCACCAAAAATCACACACTGTCACAAACTGTCAAAACGCGCGCCGAAAAACGATTGCACTCGCGTATTTTCCCGCGCACCGCAGTAATATCTGACAATTGTTTTTTTAAACGCGGTACGGGCAAAGCGCACTTCGTGTGCTGCCGGACAACGAACAATTTATATGGTCCTTGTAGAATCAGCGGTTTATATCGTCCTGGGGCAACGCGTGCCGCTCTCAACTTGCCGGTTGAGATTTATGTTTCTACTGCATTCGGATGGGTGCTAATCGGGATATGAGGGGACCTTCCGTAGGAACTGACTGACTGAGAGCGGTGGCATTTAATTCGATCAGTCAAAACAATGCACAAATGTGATTCTTTCTTTCTTTCTTTCTTTCTTACTTATATTATATTAGTTAGTTAGTTTAAAAAAGGGTCAGAGACTCAAGGTCTTATTAGGGACGAGTTTCATTAGGACATACAGAGGATATAGCTTAAAGATTATTTTTTTATATTGTATACTACCTAGTTTCTGATGGACTCGAGAATTGCTAACTACTTACATACTCATTCAGTTTATAGTAGTGTTTTTCATGTAGAAAGTAGGATTTTTCAGGTAGTTCAATGCTTAAGTAGGTAGTTAGTGATACTTAAATCTTTGGAAAACGTTTATACAGAGATGCACAGACTTACTGTGACCAGGGGCCACTCGGGCAGGAGCTAAAAGCAAGCCGTAGAAAATAAAAACAAAATAATATAGGTTCAATTTCGCTATTTTTATTAGGGCACTGGGGCGGGCCGCTCTTATAGGGGACTGCATGCCACGATTTGTGCATCTTTGTTTTAATACATATTTATATTTATTTTGCTCCAGAAAAGACCCTGGAAGTTAATGAGATACAGACAGCGAAGTTACCCTTTGGGTACGGAACCCTCATAGCCGACATAGCTCGCAGAATTGCTAAAACCAAGTGGCAGTGGGCGGGGCACATAGCTCGTAGAGACGATGGCCGTTGGGGCAGAAAAGTTCTCGAGTGGCGACCACGGGCTGGAAGACGTAGCGTGGGCAGGCCTCCTACTAGGTGGACCGACGATCTCGTAAAGGTCGCGGGAAGAGCCTGGATGCGGGCAGCGCAGGACCGTGCATTGTGGAAAACCTTGGAGGAGGCCTTTGTCCAGCAGTGGACGTCATTTGGCTGAAACGAACGAACGAACGAACGGAACCCTTAATTGATAAAAGAATTCTAAGAAGATTATAAATAACCCAAAAAAAATGTGGCCTCGAATGCTTATTGGTAATTTTGCTTGAGTGCTATTTTTATTGAGTACTAGTTTTGCTTGTTTTGATAGACAAGACCTAGGTCAATGTCTGTAAGTTATGTTTTCATAAACAAGTTTTCAATCATTTCTGACAGGCTGCATTAATATGTAGCACTTTAATCTGCATTAACATTTTATTTTAATTACCTTCTAAATCTTCTTCCGAAACACTGCCGGTCAGCAGCGGTCATGGCAAGTCAATAAAGGCAACAAGTCGCAGTAAAATTGTTTTAAAATTCTTCTTTTTACGCGGAAGATGTTCAATGAAATTATAATGTAGGTACTTTCTGCTGTGAAAACCACAACAGGTTAAGGGGTACTCCCTTGACGGAGAAAGGCTACGGTACGGTATGGTACCTACTATTAATAGGTACTTAAAAGGGCTATATTAAAAACACATAGGTACAATTAAATTTCAAGCGTTAGTCGAGGTTTTTTAGTGGTAGGTACCTACTTAATTTACAGATTCATGAGTTTTATTGACTTTTTCCGGATTACTAATGTTTGGCCAAAAAACGTTTCCCAAATTATCACATCGCAAACAACGTTTCGCAAATTTTCATTTGGCAAATTCTTATTTGGCAAAACAACTTATTGCAAACTTTTAATTCGCAAATGTCGTTTTTGGCATATTACTGTTTAGCAAATTATTGTCTGGCAAAGTATGTTTTGCCAAATGTTTCATTTGGCAAAAATATTTCACGATACACTATTTACAAAATAATTTGATTGGTGCATAGAATGGAGTACAAATTAACAAGTGGTTATTATTTTGTTTAGTGGGTAGTTAATATAAAATTTGTTCTATATTAATTTTTCATATTTCATTCTTTTTATCGAAATTTCCAAATGATTCATTAACAATAGAGGTGATTCTAGCGCTCGGCGGCCGCTGCCGCGGCACGCTTCGCTCGCCTTCGCGCGTTAAGGGTCACTGTTCTAACCTAACCTAACCTACTATTTTCTGCAATACCTACTTTCTGCAACCATACTATTTTCTGCAATATCTTTGTTTTACATAACATTCTTGTGAAAACCATGATCATCTGCCTCTGCCTTATGGTTTGATTTGTGGGTAAGTATGTGAAGTGTCGATTTGACCAAACAAATTATTTGGGATATAATATTTGGCAAAATAAAACATTTGCTATATAAACATTTGCCAAGTAAAATTTGGCCAAATGATAATTTGTCCAAATGAATTAGTTGCGAAAAGTACAGTTGCTAAAAGTTCATTTGGGAAATGAAACTTTGGCGATAAGTTGTTTGCGAAGTGAAATTTGGCGAAAAGTAATTTGGCCAAACGGAAGGATACCACTTTTTCCTCTAATGCGGATTTCGCCACGCCCGCATTTCTTTATTTCATACGTTTTCTGGTTTTTCCTATTACACGGGCTCAACTCACGAAGGCGAGTGAGCTTTACTTGTGTGACGCTGTAACGATAGTGTAATGTTTCGGACCATTTCCCCTAAATTAATTAAAATTTCGGAAAATCTAAATGCTGGCTCTTTCTTTGCACAAAGGCTTAGTATTGCCATTCAGCGAGGAAATGCAGCCAGCATTCTCGCCTCTTTGCCTCACGGACACACTTTTATTTTTGAGTAATATAAGTTTATAAATATTTTATTTCAGACTTTCATCCATAGTTTGTTAGTAGGGATTAGTAACAATTTTTCCTTATATTATTAACCTATGCGAGAGGAGGATTTTTGGAGGATTATTTATCGCATACATATAAAAATAAGCTCAGCAATAATATTTATGTTTCATTACACTTTTCATTTATACTACACTGCACACATGACATGATTAATGAAGTGCAATGCATAGATAGATAGTTACTTGTTAACCATTCGATACTTAAAAAGTAATTACCCATAGCCAGACCACAAAGCTAATTAATAATTTAAGAAGGTGTTCCAACAAAACGTCCATAATTAATTCATAAATTCATTTAAGTATAAAACTTGTGGCACACTACCTACGCGAAGCGATGCGATATCTATACGATAATGTAGGTATGAGGCTGTAACTTATAACTCTTATAGCCTATAAGAGTTAATTGTCGTACTTCAAATTTTCAATTCAAAACTTTGCTACAAAGACGCGTTAAAAAGCATACAAAGTCATATTTTTGTATGTGCTCTACTAAAAAAAAACCACTTATAAACGGAAAATCAATATTGTATTTAACTTAATTATTTATATAGCTTGGCCACTTACACTTTAGTGTGCGCGTGCCTAAGATGTGCATACATTACAATGTCAACATTGCTACGTCATACATTGAGATCAATTTCCCGTTGAGCTGTCATAATACCTAGAATTGACGTAATTGATCCTAAAAGTTCATAATAATGTCAAAGAATGTCATATTGATCTTACGGTTTACTGCCACGGGGATATTCTGAACAACGTCATTATTTGCAAATAATAAAAAGTGAACGACAAATTATTGGAATTTTTGTAATGGTTTATTTATAATGCCAAATAATTTTATGTCAAATATGGTTTTTCATTAGGATGTTTACCAATGTTTTCCCAAAGCCTAGTGGTTTTAGCTTTAGGTTATAGCTTTCGTCTAGCAAATGAAAAGTTTTGGGTTCTCTGAGGCAGGTGGTTTTTAGAATTAATGATTGACTTTTACGGCTAGCTTTTGTACCTTCTAGTCTTTTAGTTCTATATCAGACCAGCTCCATGATATGACTGATCCCAAATTGTATCATTGAAATTATTTGTATCCGACTGCACTTATGTAGTTTTTTTTTTAATACCGTCGTGCGTATTTCGCACACAATGTTTTCAGGAAATGCTTTAAGCTATTGTCATAATTTTGTATTTCTAAAAGTCATGACGAATGTAGGAAGCTGGTGGAAAAATCACTAATACCTATTGTTGGTAGGTATGCAATGCAGTATAGTTCTCCGAAATCATTATTTATTGACTTACGCACTTCTTTACTGAACTGTCACCTACGGGACATTCCAAAACCTCATGAATACTTTGAAAAAGCAAAAATGCATGGAATTAGAAAATTTTATACTTACTGACGCAAATGTAATATTTTATATCGACAGATTTGTGTTTTGGCATTACAGTGGAATCTCTATAACTCGAACCTCGTTAAGTCAAAATCCTCAGTAAGTCGAAAAAAATTGCCATTCCCTTCCGCTGAGCACCTAAATACGCGGTATCTCGAATTATTTAGACTTTGTAACTCGAACAAAATGTTATTTCCCTACGAAGTATTGATGATACATATTTATACTCTATAACTCGAAAAAAAAAAGGGGACTCCGTAAGTCGTAGTTAGTAAAATATAATAACTTCTTACTTGGAATTCCCCGAAATAATAGCAATAAAATCCAAAATAAATGTTCGGGTTCGGGGCTTCTAATCGATTGTTTTTGTCTTGTACACGTGCAATGAAAGAATACATCAATGAAACTTTCTAAGTAACACAGCTGTGAACGTGATGTTTGTCCTTGTCGCCACAGGACACGATTACTTATAGCGGAGCTTGTCCGTCCTCTACAAGTCGAAATTTCAGCAGTTAAGTCCTTGTATCTCGAAGTTCTTGTTAAGTCGAAAACTCGTTAACTCGATTTTTTTTGCATTTCCCTTGAGATTCGAGTTATAGAGATTCCACTGTATTACCTGCCGCAGACAGATGGAGAGAACTGGTTTTCGATAAGACGCTGCACTACTCGATGGATCGACTACTCCAAGAATATGCAGTTAGCTGGATGACATGGACCGATGATCGACGACGAGGGAGGCCTTTAGCTAAAACAAACGAACGAAGCGGGATGACAAAATAATCTAATAATGTTTTGTGGCACTCCTTAGCTTCCTTAGTTTAACTT